AATTCAATCTTTCTCCCCAGGCTATTTTGGCAAGCCTTAACTCAGCTTGGGGAAAAAAGGACAAGTTACGCCAGACTTCTAGCATTGATCATCCTCCTTAATTCAATAATCCAATTTAAAAGATCAACTTTCAAGAGGATTTAAATTTATGCGGTCTGAGACTAGAAGCATGCAAGTGTATGAGGATCCCAATACCAGCTGTGGCAGCTGGGGCTTGGTGAGCATGTAAACTGCTTCATCCTGTACCAAGGTTTCCATGCAGGGAAGTGCAGCACTGAGACATGGATATTTAGACATAGGCATCACATTTCCAAATATAAAAAGACCTGTCAACTACAGGAAAAAGTAACCTATGCCAATAAAAGCATTGCTAATATTAGACACACTAGGTGAGATGCAAACACACATTTGGCACTGAAGCATACATACTCAGGAATAAAAAACAGTGAAGTCAACTATAGTTATGAATATTTATGCCCTTCTTTCCTTTAAATATTTCATATTGAAAAGCAGAAGCATTTATGCAACTTTTTGCTTTTAAAATGACACAACAATGGATTATGCTTTATATTTGCAATTCCTTAATGTAAGAAGTATTTTTTAAAAGTTGCCTATACAGGACATTTTACAGATGATGTAAGCTTTCATTTCTAGATTCCCTTACAGATCTTGAACTACTGCTCTGAGGTCAAGGAAGAAACAGTAGAACTACTGGAAACTTTTTCTTTGGATGCTTTTGTTTTCCTTTCTGTTTCGTATTATTAACAAAAAGTAAAACACATAAAGAAACATTAGAAGACCTGTATGTGCCAATAATCTTCCATAAAAAGACAGCCTGCGTTATACACTAAGAGTTCATCTAATCACCCACCCCATTCAAAGCAGGGCCTGAAAGCAAAAGCTGTCCTCACTGTGCCTCTCCCAGAAACTGCTATTTAGAGGCACATACTGCCCAAGGTTTCCATATACCCACAAAGGCCAATACATTAAAGACCTTCTTTAATGGTCAGCTGTCAGCCCTAGACTATTAATTTTAAGTTGTTAGCTGAAACACTGTGGCTGCCAAAAACAACTGCCCGTTGTTCCACACAGGTCTAGCCTATCCCTTTAGGAAACTACCCTAGATCAGGAACTCCGTTTCTCCAAGGCAGAGACAAAACAGACTTCCAATGTTGCCCTGAATCCACAACAGCAAGTTTCAGATGTGAAACCACTGCAAAGACAGTCAGGAAACAGTCTGTTCTCCCTTTCTCTCTATCCACCTCGACAAAGCAATAACTTCACATGTGCTCACCTTCAAAGATGCTTTGAGTATGTGTCATTCAAGCCACCCCATGCCACCTTTTCAGTTGGATGGGCTCACTAAAGCTGAATGGAACTATTTACATTTAAAAGCACCAAGCTAGACATTGAGCTTGTGTTTGCTAAAAGAAAAATTAAACAGGGAAACTAGGGAAAAGTATCTTGCAGCAAGGGCAAACCAGATAGTGGAACCAATTTCTTAATGAGGTAGTTATTGGAAACCAAATTGAAGTGTTCTTGCCATAGTATTTCCCAATGTAAGTAGACCAAGTAATTAATTTTAAGGCACAATTCAGTAAAAAATGGACTGAAGCAACACTAGCTTTAACTTTTAAGCAGTCTCTTTCCTGCACAGTGAGGCCACAGCCCTGCCTTCGTAAGAAAATGCAATGATAGGAATACCTGTTTCAAGACAATTACAGATTTCTCTTTAAACTCTAAAGAGGATGTTAGCTTGTAAAGATCCTGATTTCCCAGTTCAGCCTTTCATGGCAGCACTCCCTTGGAAAATGTAACAACAGCAAATGCCATTATGGTTAGACTTCTTCAGTCACCCAAATAGACAATTCTAATGGCATAATTGGCTTTCCATTGGATTCTATAAAAAGAATAATGAACATTGATCTCTTTGGATTATATAAATGTAACACTTGACTGCTCATTATTTCTTTATGGATTTCAGTCATAGATATACTGGCCTGTTTTTCTAATTTCTTTAGCTGCCCTTTAGTTTACAGAAAAAATAATTTAAGGTTGGGTAGATCACTGTTCCTTCAAAACTCAGTATACAGTTTCTCTTTCCAATCTCAATTCAGGTGGCAAATAGTTTTTATTGCGTTAAAAATGATATCTGCTCACCTGACAAAGTTGGGTGAGTTTTTTAAGGGGAAACATAGGAAATATGCGAAATACTTCTCCAGTGTTTAGATCGTAGGTTGTGTATAAGTTGGTTTGTTAGACTAGGTGTCATGTTTTGTGTTTTAAAGTTTTTTTATTGCTTTAATCCTTTTTTTTTTAATTTTTAGTTCATGTTGTTACAAGCTGCCTTGAGTGCCATTTTCTTGTTAGGAAGGCAGGGTATAAATCAAAACAAATAAAATAAATAATAGAGTGTGGTGGACAGAGTATCACTCTCTAGCTTTTCATAGCTTTAACTCCCAGAAGACTCAGCTGGCATGCTGGGAGTTCAAGTCAAACCATTTTGAAAATCTACCCACCTCTGGTTGCCCATGAAGACATTTGGCACTTATTATTTTATTCCACAACTCCTTCAGGGACCTCTGAGTGGTACTCATAGTTATTCCTCCCCATTTTCTTACCACAACTCTGTAAAGCAAGAGATGCATGAGAGTTCCTGGCCTATCCTGGAAGCTTCACGGCTGAGTGGGGATTTTAATCTAGGTCTTTCTGGCCCCAGACCATCACTTGGGCAAGCAACTTGTGGGCACACAACCCCCATTGGTCTTAGTCAGCAAAACCAATGGTAAGGAATGGTAGGAACTATAGGACAAAACCTGTGGAGGGTCACAAACCACCTACCTTTGTGAACCACATGCCCACAGTGACTCCAAATTTGTTCATAAACTTGTAGATTATGTCCCTGGGCAGGCACTTGTATACCCATCCTATCTCCCATTCATTTGTATTGTAAGTGGTACTCTATGGGTTTCAATTATAGCAAAGTAAGTTCTCCTCTGCCCTACTGCTCGCCTTATGCTTGCCTCTTTTTAGACCCTCTTTCTAGTGCTACACATGCTTCCCCTCCTCCTTTTGGTTTTGGCTGGTTTGCTGTCTGACTAAATCCTTCTAGCTTTTCTAGTTTCTAGATTCTAAATTCGTCTTGTATTTCCATCTAGTTTGGAATATAGCCAAGATCAATAATGCTACCAACAGCATGGTATTGCTTCTCTTTCAGTCATGCTAATAAATGATGATTGCCCCCAGCAAAGTCTACTAATAATTAGTCCTCAAATGAAGCCCTAGTTTTGTGCACCTTACCATGTTCACTGCAGGTCTACTCCAGAGAATCATCACACACTAAACAGCCTTCATATTGGAAAATACATTAATCAAACCTTCAGTAAGCCTTTGATTTGTAAATGAAAGAAGTGCCTGAGAACGTTGATATCTCTCAATGATGTACAAAAGTTAAACGAATCTTCCTGTTGTGAAAGTTTGTTATGCGATGGTCAGATCTTTGCAGGTGGTGCATTAGTCTGGTTTAAGAGTCATACTGGACTCTTTATAAGTCATATCTACTGTTTTAACCTGTACTGTGGGTTAGATGGGGAGAATCTTAATCTGTTATGCATTTTAAGATTTTTTTTAATGGTTTGCTGTCTTTTTATCTGTTGAACATTCTTGTACACTGAATTCTTGTAAGCAGTGTTGGTTGTCTCCAGAAAGGTGGTATAAAATACAAAATATTTATTTATTTTGTGTTTTTGCACTCTTCCAGAACCAACCAAGATAGATTACAAATTAATGGTACTAATAATATAGAAAGGGAGAATTTACCTCTCCCTTTAAGAAGCACTACAAGCCTTCACCTGAAACCTAGAGTATTAATTGAAAATGTGCTTGAAAAAGCAATGGTGGAAAGGGGGAAATGTAAAAAAAGGAGCCAGAAAGGCTGAACAGAATTTTCACATGAATTTCAATGCATAATTTTCAAGGTAATACAGCAAAAGAATTCCAAAATCTGACTTACAGTTGCTCATATCTGATAGGAGAAACACAAGTGTAGTCAGGCCCCATCATACTCAGAAAAGTACAGCCATTTGACATACACACAACTAAAATATGCTAATTAGATGCAGCCCTAGCTCTTAATATACTGTGTCTAATATGATCCTCCATGTTGAAAAAGCTGTCTAGACAGGCTGTGAAATGAAATGCGTCTTATTCCTTGCTATGTCTTGTGAGGCTTCTCTGGCTTCTACAAACAGATGATGCAGCTGGAGGAATTCATGTGTGAGATCCATCCTGAAAAATATTGATAGTGCTTGCAAAACCATGCGGTTAAATCCATAGGGTAGGCACGCATACATGGAGTGAAGGAGAAAAAGAAACATGGTTCCAGTAAAAGAGAGGACATACAGAGGGCTGAAGTGCACTGTGCATAAAATAAATCATGCAGTTGAACCTCTCTTCCTTAGTTCTGTGTAAGCATTTGGGGTCCCAGTCCAAACTGAGACCACCATGTGTACATGGCAGAGTTTAAACCTTTCTCTTGCCAGCCATTTGCTTTCCCAGATCTCATTCCGATTTTAAGTTCTCTTTTTAATCAGTCCCATCCTAATGAGATCCCTATAAGGCACCAAAACTGATCAAGACATTTTATTCATGCAATTAACCTTGGGGTGAAGTGTGGGCTCACATACTGCCAGTCCTGAAGAATTCTTGTTCTTGTATAGGTGAAAAAAATAACTCCTTCTAAATTATCAGTACGTTGCAGAATAACTTTCACATGGCAAAAGACATAGGTGGACCATGCTTCTAGGCAACAGGAATAATTTTGAGCTGTCTTCCAGCACAGATACTGACCTTAGAGAAATAACATAGAAGTTCTGAGTTGTTTAAAATGTTCTCTCTTGTTGTATTGTAAAACCTTAAGACGTACAGGTACTTCCACAAAATGGGTAGATTCTTTTACAGCCCCCTAGTAAAAATGGCAGCATGGATAAATTCCTACTTACCTCATAATAGCTTCGAACTGCATTGCAGAATGCTTCATCAGCCACAATTTGAGTCTCTCCATTTAGAAAGGCCTGGAAGCGCTCCTTCACAACCTGTAGTTGCTGTTTGTTCATCTGGAGAGAGAATAAGGATGCCCTTAGTAAAACTAAAAGTTTTGCTTTATTCTAGTATCAATCAATTTTTAACATCCCTCTGTATCTTCCCCCTGCCCCTATGTTTATTATCATTTTTCATTATTAAGAAAAATCATGCTTTTAAAAAAATCCAGTTGATTTTACCAAATCTATGCAATTTGTATTTAGAAGACCTTTAATTTAATGTTGTGATGATCTAAAGTTACACAAGAAATGACTATTACTTCTACAACTATCCTAGTCAAATTGAACTGAAATCCCACTCCTACATGCACAGCGTTTGGAATACTGTCACCTCCACTAGTTTTGTTCTTGCTAAGATTTCCTAAGGCCCTTTTGACTTCACATTCCAGGATGTCTGGCTCGAGGTCGGTGACCATTCCATCGTGGTTATCAGGGACGTTAAGGTCTTTCTTGTACAGTTCTGTGTAATCTTGCCACCTCTTCTTAATCTCTTCTGCCTCTGTTAGGTCCCTGCCATTTTTGTCCTTTATCATGCCCATCTTTGCATGAAACATTCCATTCATATCTCCAATTTTCTTGAAGAGATCTCTAGTCTTTCTTATTCTATTGTTTTCTTCCATTTCTTTGCACTGTTCATTTAAGAAGGCATTCTTATCTCTTCTAGCTTCTCTGGAATTCTGCATTCAGTTGGGTGTATCTTTCCCTTTCTCCCTTGCCTTTTGCTTCCCTTCTTTCCTCAGCTATTTGTAAAGTTTCCTCAGACAGCCATTTTGCTTTCTTGCATTTCTTTTTCTTTGGGATGGTTTTAGATGCTACCTCTTGTACAATGTTGCGAACCTCCATCCATAGTTCCTCAGGCACTCTGTCTATCAGATCTAATAGCTTAAATCTATTTGTTACCTCTACTGTATATTCATCAGGAATATGATTTAGGTCATACCCGAGTGGCCTGGTGCTTTTCCCTACTTTCTTCAATTTAAGCCTAAATTTTGCAACAAGAAGCTCATGATCTGAGTCAGCTCCTGGTCAAGTTTTTACTGACTGTATAGAGCTTCTCCATCTTTGGCTGCAGAGCACATTGTCAGTCTGATTTCTGTGTTGATCATCTGGTGATGTCCATGTGTAGCATCGTCTCTTGGGTCGTTGGAAAAGAGTGTTTGCTATGACCATTGTAATCTCTTGGCAAAATTCTACCAGCCTGTGTGCTGCTTCATTTTGTACTCCAAGGCCAAACTTGCCTGTTATTCCAGTTATCTTTTGGCTTCCTACTTTAGCATCCCAATCCCCCATGATGATAAGGACATCATTTTTGGTGTTAATTCTAGAAGGTGTTGTAGGCCTTCATAGAACTGGTCAACTTCAGCCTCTTCAGCATCAGTGGTTAGGGGATAGACTTGGACTACAGTGATGTTGAATAATTTGCCTTGGATTCGAACTGAGATTATTCTGTCATTTTGGAGATTGTACCCCAGTACTGCTTTTCCTACTCTTTTATTAACTATGAAGGCTACTCCATTTCTTCTGAGGGATTCTTGCCCACAACAGTATACATGATGGTCATCTGAATTAAATTCACCCATTCCTGTCTATTTTAGTCCACTGATTCCTAAGATGTCAATGTTCAGTCTTGTCATCTCATGTTTGACCACATCCAGCTTGCCTTGATTCATGGATCTTACATTCCAGTTTCCTATGCTGTATTGTTCTTTACAGCATCGGACTTTCCTTTCACCACCAGATACATCCGCAAATGAGTGTCCTTTTGGCTTTGACCCAGTCGCTTCATTCTTTCTGGCACTACTAGTACTAGCCCTCCACTCTTCCCCAGTAGCACTTTGGACACCTTCCGACCTGAGGGGCTCATCTTCAGGTGTCATATCTCTTTGCCTGTTGATACTGTCCATGGGGTTTTCATGGCAAGGATACTGGAGTGGGTTGCCATTTCCTTCTCCAGTGGATCACATTTTGTCAGAGCTCTCTGCTATGACCTGTCTGTCTTGGGTGGCCCTGCATGGCATAGCTCATAGCTTCATTGTGCTACACATGCCCCTTCATCACAGCAAGACAGTGATCCATGAAAGGCGGCTTGGAGCTCCCCCCCCCAAACATCTGCCATGCTCCGCGGCTTGGACCATCACCTGCCGCGCTGCACCGCGCTGTCGCTGCCGCAGTTGCTGCCGCCAGACTGGGGCGCACTGCCGAGCCGGGGGCCGGCTGACGATGGTCCCACAGCCATCGCTGGGCCACCCCGGGCACGGAGGACGCCAGGGCCACGCCAGGCCTGCCGCCGCTGGCACGGAGGAGGGCACCGCCATCTTGCTGCCAGACGGGTTTCTGTGCCCCTCCCTGCTCCCCGCCCCGCCGGAGCTGGCGAGAGCAATGCCCGATTGGGGCAGGGCACGCGGGTGGGTGCCGGCTTAACCCGCCGGACGTGGCCTGGGGCTGGCGGCCAAAGGGCAGTGCCACCGTTTGTGGCCGTTCGTGGCCATGCGGGGCTGGGCTGGTGGGGGACTAGGTTGGTGGGGGGAAGTTTAATTTTGTATTGGGGGTGGAAATGGGGAGTTTTTGATTGTTTTTAAAGTTTTCTTGTATTTTAATTTGTTTTTATGGAGTTGTCCCTGGCCATGTCGACGTTTGTGTTTCCTGGGGAGCGCGTGGGCGCCGCCATTGGGGTGGTCATGGGCAATGGACGTTACAGTGGTGGGGGCTTAACGTGTCCACGTAGAAGAAGGAGGGACAGATGGCTGACACCTGTCCCTCCTTCTGGTTTTGCCCCCAGCCAGAGGGTTCCAGGTAGTCTTGTCAACCGCCCCTTGGGCCTGACGGTGTTGCTGCTCAATGCCAGGTCAGTCCACAATAAATCTTCCCTCATCCATGACTTGATTGTGGATGAGGGGGCCGACCTGGCTTGCATAACAGAGACCTGCGCGGGAGAGGGGGGGAATGTTGCCCTCTCTCAAATGTGCCCGCCCGGGTATCTGGTTCAGCACCATTCACGCCTGGAGAGGAGGGGAGGGGGGTCGCTTTGGTTTACCGAGCCTCCATCTCCCTTACGGGACTTCCGGTTCCTTCAAGGCCAGCGCTGGAGTGCCTCTACTTGGTGTTGGGTGACCGAGACAGATTGGGGATTCTGTTGGTGTACCGTGCATCCTTCTGCCCAACAGTCTCCCTGCCTGAGCTGACGGAGATCGTCTCGGACCTGGTGTTGAGGACCCCCAGGATGTTGGTCCTGGGGGACTTCAATCTCTATGCCGAGACTGGTCTGACTGGGGCAGCTCAGGACTTCATGGCCTCCATGACAGCCATGGGGCTGTCTCAACATGTCACTGGCCCGACTCATGAACGTGGACACACTCTGGACCTGGTTTTCTCGACGGGGCAGGAAGAGGGTGTTCTGACGGTTAGGAATTTATGTCTGACACCCCTGTCATGGTCAGATCACTTCCTCGTGAGGTTTGTGCTCGAGAGCGGCCTCTCCCTCTGCAAGGGTTAGGACCCGATTGTGTGGGTCTGCCCCCAGAGCTGGATGGATCCAGACGGATTCCTGAAGGCCCTGGGGGAGTTTCCGGCTGACAAGACAGGTCCTCCTGTCGATGCTCTGGTCGAACTGTGGAACGGGGAGATGACCAGGGCTGTTGACACAATCACTCCTAAGTGTCCTCTCCCACCGGGCAGAGCCCACTCTTCCCCTTGGTATACATCTGAATTGCAGGCGATGAAGCAGGCCGGGAGACGGCTAGAGCATAGGTGGAGGAGATCACGGGATGAATCTGACCGAACACACTTGAGAGCCCATTATCGGGCCTATGCTGTGGCGGTGAGGGCAGCGAAAAAGAGTTTCTTTTCCATTTCCATTGCCTCCTCAAAATGCCGTCTGGCGGAGCTTTTTCGGGTGGTGCAAGGCCTGGTTCGTCCAGGTCCTAAGAAAGATCTGGTTCCACCTTCGAAGGCCCACTGTGATGACTTTGCCAAGCATTTCAGGGAGAAAATTGCTCAGATTCGTCACGAGCTAGACTCTACTAGTGACTCAGAGGTTTCTGGGGAGATACCAATGCCGCCGTCTGGTCCAAAATTAATGGATGAATTTCAGTTATTGCGGCCTGATGATGTGGACAAGGTGCTTGGACAAGTACGTCCCACCACTTGCCTATTGGACCCTTGCCCGTCTTGGTTAATAAATAATTCCAAGCATGGGATTGGGATCTGGATCTTGGAAGTGGTTAATGCCTCTCTCAGGGAGGGTCGGGTACCTGCCCCTTTAAAGGAGGCAGTAGTCCGACCGGTCCTGAAGAAACTGCCACTGGATCCAGAGATGGCCACTAATTATAGACCAGTGGCCAACATCCCATTTCTGGGCAAGGTGTTGGAGCGGGTGGTGGCGGGACAACTCCAAGCTCTCTTGGATGAAACTGATTATCTGAACCCATTTCAGTCTGGCTTCAGACCTGGGTATGGTACTGAATCTGCCTTGGTCGCCCTGTATGATGACCTGTGCAGGGAGAAGGACAGGGGGAGTGCTTCCCTGTTGGTTCTCCTGGACCTCTCAGCGGCTTTCGATACCATCGACCATGGTATCCTTCTGGATAGGCTAGTGGGATTGGGGGTCGGAGGCACTGCTTTGCAGTGGTTCCACTCCTATCTCAATGGCCGATTCCAGAAGGTGGTGCTGGGGGACTATGGCTCTGTGACATGGCAGCTATGCCATGGAGTACCGCAGGGGTCCATTTTGTCACCTTTGCTGTTTAACATCTACATGAAACTGCTAGGAGAGGTCATCAGGAGGTGTGGGCTGCGGAATCATCAGTACGCTGATGATACCCAGCTCTACCTCTCGTTTTCCACCAATCCGGGTGAGGCAGTGGCTGTGCTGAACCGGTGCCTGGCTGAGGTAATGGGCTGGATGAGGGCCAATAAACTGAAGCTCAATCCAGACAAGACGGAGGTCCTGTTGGTTGGCGGATCGGGCTTCGGTGAGGTGAATTGACCTAGTCCTGAATGGGGTTGCACTCCCTCTT